AGGGTACACAGTAAACTAGCCACCTCCAGCAGGGTACCCAGTAAACTAGCCACCTCCAGCAGGGTACCCAGTAAACTAGCCACCTCCAGCAGGGTACCCAGTAAACTAGCCACCTCCAGCAGGGTACCCAGTAAACTAGCCACCTCCAGCAGGGTACCCAGTAAACTAGCCACCTCCAGCAGGGTACCCAGTAAACTAGCCACCTCCAGCAGGGTACCCAGTAAACTAGCCACCTCCAGCAGGGTACACAGTAAACTAGCCACCTCCAGCAGGGTACACAGTAAACTAGCCACCTCCAGCAGGGTACCCAGTAAACTAGCCACCTCCAGCAGGGTACCCAGTAAACTAGCCACCTCCAGCAGGGTACCCAGTAAACTAGCCACCTCCAGCAGGGTACACAGTAAACTAGCCACCTCCAGCAGGGTACCCAGTAAACTAGCCACCTCCAGCAGGGTACCCAGTAAACTAGCCACCTCCAGCAGGGTACCCAGTAAACTAGCCACCTCCAGCAGGGTACCCAGTAAACTAGCCACCTCCAGCAGGGTACCCAGTAAACTAGCCACCTCCAGCAGGGTACCCAGTAAACTAGCCACCTCCAGCAGGGTACCCAGTAAACTAGCCACCTCCAGCAGGGTACCCAGTAAACTAGCCACCTCCAGCAGGGTACCCAGTAAACTAGCCACCTCCAGCAGGGTACCCAGTAAACTAGCCACCTCCAGCAGGGTACAGGGTACCCAGTAAACTAGCCACCTCCAGCAGGGTACCCAGTAAACTAGCCACCTCCAGCAGGGTACCCAGTAAACTAGCCACCTCCAGCAGGGTACCCAGTAAACTAGCCACCTCCAGCAGGGTACCCAGTAAACTAGCCACCTCCAGCAGGGTACCCAGTAAACTAGCCACCTCCAGCAGGGTACCCAGTAAACTAGCCACCTCCAGCAGGGTACCCAGTAAACTAGCCACCTCCAGCAGGGTACCCAGTAAACTAGCCACCTCCAGCAGGGTACCCAGTAAACTAGCCACCTCCAGCAGGGTACCCAGTAAACTAGCCACCTCCAGCAGGGTACCCAGTAAACTAGCCACCTCCAGCAGGGTACCCAGTAAACTAGCCACCTCCAGCAGGGTACCCAGTAAACTAGCCACCTCCAGCAGGGTACCCAGTAAACTAGCCACCTCCAGCAGGGTACCCAGTAAACTAGCCACCTCCAGCAGGGTACCCAGTAAACTAGCCACCTCCAGCAGGGTACACAGTAAACTAGCCACCTCCAGCAGGGTACCCAGTAAACTAGCCACCTCCAGCAGGGTACACAGTAAACTAGCCACCTCCAGCAGGGTACACAGTAAACTAGCCACCTCCAGCAGGGTACACAGTAAACTAGCCACCTCCAGCAGGGTACCCAGTAAACTAGCCACCTCCAGCAGGGTACCCAGTAAACTAGCCACCTCCAGCAGGGTACCCAGTAAACTAGCCACCTCCAGCAGGGTACCCAGTAAACTAGCCACCTCCAGCAGGGTACCCAGTAAACTAGCCACCTCCAGCAGGGTACCCAGTAAACTAGCCACCTCCAGCAGGGTACCCAGTAAACTAGCCACCTCCAGCAGGGTACCCAGTAAACTAGCCACCTCCAGCAGGGTACCCAGTAAACTAGCCACCTCCAGCAGGGTACCCAGTAAACTAGCCACCTCCAGCAGGGTACACAGTAAACTAGCCACCTCCAGCAGGGTACCCAGTAAACTAGCCACCTCCAGCAGGGTACCCAGTAAACTAGCCACCTCCAGCAGGGTACCCAGTAAACTAGCCACCTCCAGCAGGGTACCCAGTAAACTAGCCACCTCCAGCAGGGTACCCAGTAAACTAGCCACCTCCAGCAGGGTACCCAGTAAACTAGCCACCTCCAGCAGGGTACCCAGTAAACTAGCCACCTCCAGCAGGGTACCCAGTAAACTAGCCACCTCCAGCAGGGTACCCAGTAAACTAGCCACCTCCAGCAGGGTACCCAGTAAACTAGCCACCTCCAGCAGGGTACCCAGTAAACTAGCCACCTCCAGCAGGGTACCCAGTAAACTAGCCACCTCCAGCAGGGTACCCAGTAAACTAGCCACCTCCAGCAGGGTACCCAGTAAACTAGCCACCTCCAGCAGGGTACCCAGTAAACTAGCCACCTCCAGCAGGGTACCCAGTAAACTAGCCACCTCCAGCAGGGTACCCAGTAAACTAGCCACCTCCAGCAGGGTACCCAGTAAACTAGCCACCTCCAGCAGGGTACCCAGTAAACTAGCCACCTCCAGCAGGGTACCCAGTAAACTAGCCACCTCCAGCAGGGTACACAGTAAACTAGCCACCTCCAGCAGGGTACCCAGTAAACTAGCCACCTCCAGCAGGGTACACAGTAAACTAGCCACCTCCAGCAGGGTACCCAGTAAACTAGCCACCTCCAGCAGGGTACACAGTAAACTAGCCACCTCCAGCAGGGTACCCAGTAAACTAGCCACCTCCAGCAGGGTACACAGTAAACTAGCCACCTCCAGCAGGGTACACAGTAAACTAGCCACCTCCAGCAGGGTACACAGTAAACTAGCCACCTCCAGCAGGGTACCCAGTAAACTAGCCACCTCCAGCAGGGTACACAGTAAACTAGCCACCTCCAGCAGGGTACCCAGTAAACTAGCCACCTCCAGCAGGGTACCCACAGTAAACTAGCCACCTCCAGCAGGGTACACAGTAAACTAGCCACCTCCAGCAGGGTACACAGTAAACTAGCCACCTCCAGCAGGGTACACAGTAAACTAGCCACCTCCAGCAGCAGCAATACAAAATTAAATCGTCGTTACATCATTTTCTGATGAGTGGTTTGGTCATCATTGAGGGGAAAATGACGTGTGAGATTTATATTTATTTAGTTTATATTAAGTTTTATAGTAATTTATATTTTACGTTAATTTACTATCGAAAAATATAAATTATGATGTTTAAAGTGGACTGTATGATTTAAAAATTCCCACAAATCGGTTTCCTACACACATTCTGGGGGTTTATTAGATTATATATAGTTATAGATTAGTAGACATTCACCTCAGTATTAGACTACATATTAGTAATTAAATGCGGCGGCCTAATATTGGATGGCAGATTTTGGTCTAAATAACCAGTATGATCACAGATGAAAACTTTTTGTGGTTGAGGTTGGCGTCAACACATGTACTGGTGTGCCAAGTAGTTGTTAATTGTGCTTCTTCTTCTTCCCCTTTAATTACACCTGTCAAAGGGCACACACTATAACACTATAATATTTGTAACCTAATATGACAGCTATGTCAGGGAAAATATATAATTATTTAAATCAAGAGATGAGAGTATTGCTCACCCTGTTTCGGTCACTGTCTAGCATTCTTAATGGGTCACACTAATCTACCTACACAACTGGCCAGGTATATGGGGATTTATAATGGATTTCGGCTCGAATACCTCCCTTACAGCAGACATAGTTGATGTTGATAACGGGAACACTATTAGTCCTGTAACACTGTTGTTCAAGGGAAAATTATAGGAGCTAGGTTTACCCCAGCGACTGTTGTTAAATTAAAATGGCGACTGACTGTGGTCTCCCCTCCACTGACACCTCGGCTATTCACTGTTTTATCAAGAAGTGGAGAGAGAGGGCCTACATTTACTCTATTTTGGTACTGATAATTAATTATATTCAAGGGAAATGTTTTTTGATGTTTACAGTCCAGAGACTGCTGTATTAAAAAGGATTCCCAATATTTGGTGGTGAATTTAATAGCGACATGTGGCAATGACATCTCTGTTTTCTACCTAGGAAAATTCCACTCTGCCACATCTTCTATGAGTTAATTTATTTATTACAAAACATCAGTAATATTATCTGCCTATTGTATTAAAATGATTGTAAATGGTGTCAGTTTTTCCGACAATCATATTTCTGATATTGATGTGAAATTAATTCTTAATACCAAAATTCAAATAAAGTATATGAACTATATTTGTAAATGTAAATGTTTGTAAACCACTTGAAAAAACGTTGTGTGTGTTGTTGACTGACGGCCAACGGTGATAGAGGTATCGTTTGTGTGACGTGACGTCGCTCGTCTCTGCCTCAATAGCCAAATCCCAATACATAACACAACCATATGTTGTCTCATTTACATCCATATTGGGCCCCAATTCCATATATATTTAGGCCCCATTTGCATGTCATGTTTGCATGCTATTTAGTTGATTCTGGCAATAACATATATTTATTTCTGGTGTGATGGTCTTGGGTTCTGTTACATGGCTCTGAGAAGGGTTTCAGAACAGGATTTGTTTCTAGGAATAGGAATAGGTTGATATAAATACCACAAGAGAATGTGTGGAGTGAGTGAATGTTCAGTAAGTTTAAGGACTGAAACAGAGGGGCTGTGTGTTGACTGAAGTCAGTTTGTTACAGTTCTGATTGGCTTGAGATAGTTTGTATTGGTTGAACCCCATGCACAGATACCAAGCGTTAGGTTGGGATAGATTACCGAGTTTTAGTTTCCCCGAAAATGGAAAATGTCCTTAGCCCAGTGATTAGAGCAGTTAGCGTGCATGAACAGCAGATTGGAACAGTTTCGTGCGCTGAGCGAAACTTTTGGCCACGTCTGGTGACCAAAGAAGGCCTGGTCGAGGACCGGGCCGCATGGACACTAAGCCCCAAAACCATCTCAAGGTAGGTAAGGTAACGTCTCCTTACACTTCATGCCATTATTCACCTTGCAATAAATAGGTACCCAAAGGTTGAGTAGCTGTTGTGGGTTGCATCCTGGGAAAGGTCAGTTGGTAGCTCACTAAGAGTACCTCGATAAGCCTAACAGGTTTTCTGTTCGTGACAATGGGAGCCAAACAAGACCGCCGCCTTGGGAAGGGTAGACATAGGTACACATGCACAAGTGAGCGTGTTGTGCGGTCCACCGCCGCAACACACACGAACTGGCATGACTGAGTGTGTGTGTGGTTGCAGAGGACGGAGGCGTGGCGGAGGTGATCAGCGTGGTGATACCGGTGGAGGGAGAGCCCGACCTGCTGCTGGTGGGGATGGGCAAGACGCTGTGCGTGGTGCGCTGGTCTCCGGACGACCCCGACAGTCACACCGTCACCGCCAAGGTCATCCAGACCACCACAGACGACCACTTCAACGATGCCAAATGTGACCCCCAGGGACGACTATGGGCAGGTAAGGCGCACAGGTCGTCTACGACCCTCCAACACGACTCTTTACTTTCCAGCCTACGACAACCAGAGAGACTTTAATATATCAAACACAAGAACAGACTTGGATTATTTACCCTGTCTAAGAAACCACACAGGAGAAAGATTAGGTATTATACAAAGATGGTTCTTCATAATATTGTAAAGCCCGCTTTACCCTGTCGTAATAACCGCGGCCTCTATTGTAATAACCCAATGTTCCCCAGTATTAATCCTGTTATCTTGTTATCTCTCGTGATCGTAATATACGCTCTCTGTTCTACATCTCTGTCTCTCTTCACTCAATACCCCAGCTTAACACTGTTACAGTCCAGTATGACCCCTCACTGGACTGCCCCGTATATAAGAGGAATATTATAATAATAATAATAATAATTTTTATTTAGGCAAAGGTACATACATAAAGAGATTTTACAAAGTTTGTTGTCTTTATAGATAGGAGCTAGTACATACAATGCCTAAAGCCACTATTACGCAAAGCGTTTCGGGCAGGAGGAAGATATTAAATGAGGAAGATACACCAAGGACAAGGGTTATTAGTTAAAAACAATAACAAAACACATTTGCACTGCCACCACCTTCCCGACCAACCATACCTGAATGTGTCTATCACCGATCCCCCAGGAAGGCAAGGAATCAGTAACCATGGGACTCCGGGTAATATGAATTTCAGTAATAAATTTTGGAAAGTTAGTTTGTGTAATTTACGTTACTAATTTAAATCCAAGGGCAACTTTAGTATCGATTAATTGTAGGAGAACCTGGGGGGCTTCCGATACAACACCTAAAAATGACAAAGTAGCAAAATATATCAAGGGGGAGTTAAGTGAATACCACTGGACAAGCTATACAATTTATTTTATGAAACATGTAAATTAAGACAATTTGAAACACATAACCTATTCTATTTCCCTAGAGGCACAATGGATATTTATTGAGGGCACGAAACTCAAGTGCTACTATACCTTAAATACCCGCACTACGGCCCAGATGTTGATGGCTGCCCTCAGCCCCTAGGATACGGGCTTGCGGCCCTGTTCCTAATACACTCCCAAGACACACTAATGAAAATTTTGTTTTTCCAACTTATTGCTGGGAAGGATTACTCCTCCCACCATCTAATACAGCCCCAGGGCTCCACCCATTATTTTGGCAATGGCCAACCATTTAACACGTAGGCCTGAGGTCTGGCTCTCTAGGGCCAATAAGGACTTGGCCCTTATCTCAGGCCAATCACCTTCACTGATCTGCCGTGGAAAGCTACATCAATTCCTGAAGATTAAGTCAGCTCTCCCCAGCTATGAGAAGGGAGACAAGGCGCCTCTATGGATCCCCAGTGCACCTGCGAGCAATGTTTACAAAACTGATAAATTATGTTCAAGCCTGTCTCCTCTAAGATACGAGTAGGGACATTTGACTCTGCCTCGTATGGGGACGGGACCGGTTCTGAGAGGGAAAGAGAGGGAATGAGAGGGAAAGAGAGGGAATGAGAGGGGGAAGTTGAGTGGGAGAAGCCAAGGTATCCAAGACCACCCTACCCTCAGGTCAACCTCTTGACCCTGACAAATGGGCGACAGGGGGGGGGAAGAGGAGGAGACGAATGACGGCCAAGGGGAGGGGAGAAGGAAGGAGGGGAGAGGGAGAAGGAAAGGAGGGGAGAGGGGAGAACTAATGAGCTGAGCCCTAGATCATTACAATATCTCGAAATCTGTTAATTTGTTGCATATATTTTCTTAGTCCTCAGCCGGAGCAAAGTATGTCATGCCTCTCATCTGTGGCATGGTATATAACACGCGTGATATATCACGTCTCTCATCTCCTGTGAGAGGCGTGATATATCGGTCACCAGGCGTTGAATGTTCTCCCTGAGTGGAAACGTCCTATGATAATTGTGTTGTAAAGAGCCTGATCTCCTCCGGTTCAATGCCAGTTGCGGTACGGTGACTGACAGGCAAGCACCATAAAGGCGGGAGTTCACAGCCCACTTTTACACAGTTACAGTCCTCTCCTGTGGCAGGTAAGTCCACAACGGGCTCACCATAACCTGTGCTACTTGCAACTTTTTGTTCAGAGTTGCTGAATCTGAAACAACAAGAACAGCCGACTTTGAGTGGTGCTGCACGAACACCTGAGCACGCCAGGACTGTATGAGTGGTGCTCCACGAACACTTGAGCACGCCAGGACTGTATGAGTGGTGCTGCACGAACACTTGAGCACGCCAGGACTGTATGAGTGGTGCTGCACGAACACTTGAGCACGCCAGGACTGTATGAGTGGTGCTGAACGAACACTTGAGCACACCAGGACTGTATGAGTGGTGCTGCACGAACACCTGAGCACGCCAGGACTGTATGAGTGGTGCTGAACGAACACTTGAGTACACCAAGACTGTATGAGTGGTGCTGCACGAACACGTGAGCACGCCAGGACTGTATGAGTGGTGCTGCACGAACACCTGAGCACGCCAGGACTGTATGAGTGGTGCTGCACGAACACCTGAGCACGCCAGGACTGTATGAGTGGTGCTGCACGAACACCTGAGCACGCCAGGACTGTATGAGTGGTGCTGCACGAACACTTGAGCACGCCAGGACTGTATGAGTGGTGCTGCACGAACACCTGAACACGCCAGGACTGTATGAGTGGTGCTGCACGAACACCTGAGCACGCCAGGACTGTATGAGTGGTGCTGCACGAACACCTGAGCACGCCAGGACTGTATGAGTGGTGCTGCACGAACACTTGAGCACACCAGGACTTTATGAGTGGTGCTGCACGAACACTTGAGCACACCAGGACTGTATGAGTGGTGCTGCACGAACACTTGAGCACACCAGGACTGTATGAGTGGTGCTGCACGAACACCTGAGCACACCAGGACTGTATGAGTGGTGCTGCACGAACACTTGAGCACACCAGGACTGTATGAGTGGTGCTGCACGAACACTTGAGCACGCCAGGACTGTATGAGTGGTGCTGCACGAACACTTGAGCACACCAGGACTGTATGAGTGGTGCTGCACGAACACCTGAGCACGCCAGGACTGTATGAGTGGTGCTGCACGAACACCTGAGCACGCCAGGACTGTATGAGTGGTGCTGCACGAACACTTGAGCACACCAGGACTGTATGAGTGGTGCTGCACGAACACCTGAGCACACCAGGACTGTATGAGTGGTGCTGCACGAACACTTGAGCACACCAGGACTGTATGAGTGGTGCTGCACGAACACTTGAGCACGCCAGGACTGTATGAGTGGTGCTGCACGAACACTTGAGCACGCCAGGACTGTATGAGTGGTGCTGCACGAACACTTGAGCACGCCAGGACTGTATGAGTGGTGCTGCACGAACACTTGAGCACGCCATGTTTGTGGCTAATGGGTATTTTAGAAATTTTGTATTAGACAATTCACATATTTGAGTTTTAACATGTTTGTGGCTGAGAGTGGTACTGGCAGCAGCATGGGTGTGTGGCTGAGAGTGGTACTGGCAGCAGCATGGGTGTGTGCTGAGAGTGGTACTGGCAGCATCATGGGTGTGTGGCTGAGAGTGGTACTGGCAGCAGCATGGGTGTGTGGCTGAGAGTGGTACTGGCAGCAGCATGGGTGTGTGCTGAGAGTGGTACTGGCAGCAGCATGGGTGTGTGCTGAGAGTGGTACTGGCAGCAGCATGGGTGTGTGGCTGAGAGTGGTACTGGCAGCAGCATGGGTGTGTGGCTGAGAGTGGTACTGGCAGCAGCATGGGTGTGTGGCTGAGAGTGGTACTGGCAGCAGCATGGGTGTGTGGCTGAGAGTGGTACTGGCAGCAGCATGGGTGTGTGGCTGAGAGTGGTACTGGCAGCAGCATGGGTGTGTGGCTGAGAGTGGTACTGGCAGCAGCATGGGTGTGTGGCTGAGAGTGGTACTGGCAGCAGCATGGGTGTGTGGCTGAGAGTGGTACTGGCAGCAGCATGGGTGTGTGGCTGAGAGTGGTACTGGCAGCAGCATGGGTGTGTGGCTGAGAGTGGTACTGGCAGCAGCATGGGTGTGGCTGAGAGTGGTACTGGCAGCAGCATGGGTGTGTGGCTGAGAGTGGTACTGGCAGCAGCATGGGTGTGTGGCTGAGAGTGGTACTGGCAGCAGCATGGGTGTGTGGCTGAGAGTGGTACTGGCAGCAGCATGGGTGTGTGGCTGAGAGTGGTACTGGCAGCAGCATGGGTGTGTGGCTGAGAGTGGTACTGGCAGCAGCATGGGTGTGTGGCTGAGAGTGGTACTGGCAGCAGCATGGGTGTGTGGCTGAGAGTGGTACTGGCAGCAGCATGGGTGTGTGGCTGAGAGTGGTACTGGCAGCAGCATGGGTGTGTGGCTGAGAGTGGTACTGGCAGCAGCATGGGTGTGTGGCTGAGAGTGGTACTGGCAGCAGCATGGGTGTGTGGCTGAGAGTGGTACTGGCAGCAGCATGGGTGTGTGGCTGAGAGTGGTACTGGCAGCAGCATGGGTGTGTGGCTGAGAGTGGTACTGGCAGCAGCATGGGTGTGTGGCTGAGAGTGGTACTGGCAGCAGCATGGGTGTGTGGCTGAGAGTGGTACTGGCAGCAGCATGGGTGTGTGGCTGAGAGTGGTACTGGCAGCAGCATGGGTGTGTGGCTGAGAGTGGTACTGGCAGCAGCATGGGTGTGTGGCTGAGAGTGGTACTGGCAGCAGCATGGGTGTGTGGCTGAGAGTGGTACTGGCAGCAGCATGGGTGTGTGGCTGAGAGTGGTACTGGCAGCAGCATGGGTGTGTGGCTGAGAGTGGTACTGGCAGCAGCATGGGTGTGTGGCTGAGAGTGGTACTGGCAGCAGCATGGGTGTGTGGCTGAGAGTGGTACTGGCAGCAGCATGGGTGTGTGGCTGAGAGTGGTACTGGCAGCAGCATGGGTGTGTGGCTGAGAGTGGTACTGGCAGCAGCATGGGTGTGTGGCTGAGAGTGGTACTGGCAGCA